TAATTTTAGTACCTAAAGTTAGATAGAAAACCAGTTATTCTGAATAAGCGAACAGCAGAGAACAGATTGATACCACTTTCACTTGATCACGATGGAAGACAAAGGAAATCCATCAAAAGGTGGTCCACCCAAGCCCAAACCTCAAGAGGTTCAAAAGGCAGTTGATCCAACCCCAGCCAAAGAAAAAGAGGACTCAATCGAATCTTCAGACGCACCTGCTCCAGAAAACGAGTCCCCAGACTCAGCAAACGTCGGTGACGAAGATAAAATGGAGGTTGAAACTTCAGCTCCACCATCACCTTCAGAAGTTATTCCAGGAAAAAGTTTTTCCGATGCTGGCCAAACCAATTTGGACCGCGGCGAAGACGATGAACCGAGGGAATCACCTGCAACAACACCAACTGACAAAGTTAATCCAGCTGGAAAGACAGCTCCATTAGTTGATGCTCAAATTAGCTCCATCTTCGAGGTTGCAAGTGTTATGAAACCAATGGCAGCTAACCAATATCAAATTACTCAAGTAACTGGTGAAATCATCTCAGATATCCCAGCTACACAAGTTAAAGAAGCTTTCAAGCAAGCAAATATCAAAGAGATTCATCGTTTAACTACAATTATTCAAAAAACCAATTCATCTTTTGATTCATCCACTGGAACTGTTAATGGGGAACATCCAACTCCTGAAAATATGAAATCTTTAGAAAATTATATCCATTGGATTTCAATTGAAGCTCTCAAAGCTGTTTTCATCGAAATTTACCCAGTTGGTACAAATGAAACGTTATTCTACCCACATTTGTTTTTGAGAAAAAAATATAAGGCTAAAGAACATGATACAATCATGTCTACTATCCAAGATTATATCAAGAATTACATGAATTCCACTAATTTCAATATCAATTATGAATCCAAGGGATCAAATGAAAAAATTTCAACAACTTTCAAATTCAAATTACTAAATCTTGAATCCTACCACAGGTTACTTATCCTTGAAATCGAATATGATCCAGGGTTTAAAGCCTCTAACGTTGAAATTCTTGACCATTGTATGTCTGAACACACTTGGAAACAAGTTGGAGAATCTATAAAAGTGGCTAACAAGGCAAATGGTAATCATGTTTTTCAAACCGTGGTCGATTTAGAAACCAATACTCACAAGGCACCAACATATAGCCAAGCTAACAAACGTATTTTCGTTAAGGTTCTCAATTCCAACTTGATAAAGTGTACCAAATGTGATGGAATCGGTCATTTCACCTCACAATGTCCATTAAAATGTACCACATGCGGTTTTTCAGGTCATGAATCACCAAATTGTTCAACACCTTATCATTTGGTGAAACGCTTTCAGTCAAAGAAAGCAACCAAATCCATGATGGATCAAACAAAAGCACCAATAAACTTCAATTTTGGTAAATATGCAGAAAAAAATATGCCACCAAAAGCTGATAATTATGGTTTTAAAACTCCAAAAAATCCTTTTAAAGCAAGAAATAAAACTGCAAATATCAACCAAGAATATCAACCTAACCAAGCCAATAGTCCAACAAAATTCTCAAATATGTATGATGCTTTCAATAGATATAATCAAGATGATGGATTTTCAGCAAATGATAACAAAAATGCAAATGCATCTCAAGATGCCAACACATTCCAGTTTCCAGTAGGTAAGAGTAAAGCTACTCATAAAGCTGAACGCAAAGCTGCTAAATCTTTACAAAAAGCTAAATTAGCTCAACAACAAACTCAAGCAGCTCAATCATTAGATAAGGAAGCACAAGACTATAAAATCCCAGCAGAAACCTCAAAATCTGCAACCAACCATCATTCTTCCAACTCAAATGCACAATCTGACAACATTCAGAACTCCAGTTCAATTCCAAAAGCAGCTTTAACAGCTGATGAAGCTCTCCAAAAAGCTAGATATCAATTCCAACATGGTCATTTACCTAAAACCCCTGTGCAAAATCTTCCAGGACGAAACCCAAGGGAAAGAGAAGAAGATTATACCCCAGGAACAGCTGCAATGCAATCACCATCTAAAAAAAATGCACTTCAACCATCAAATTTTGAAAGAACCAATGGAAGAAATTCTGATAATGAATCTGGAGAAGAAGATGGTGAAGGTGATAGAAATTTAATTGACGACGATGCTATCGTCAGTTCCCAAGGAGCGTTATTAGGCACACAATTCTCAGAGTCTGATAGAGCCGCCCTTTTGCCAAAACCCACTGGAGAAGATAATAATAATAAGGGTTCAGAAGCAGCCATCAAAACTGGTGAAGCTCAAACCCATAATCAATTATAATGAATCCTAATCAAACCGACCCAGCTAATAAGGGGGAAGCAGCCAAATCACAAGCACCAGGAACCGGTTCAGAAACGGTTAATCAATCATCTATTGATATAACTGTTTCGTCAGTCAATGTTCAGCACCCTGAAACATCAAAAAGTCTCCACTCCATTCTTCAACATCTCCAAAATCATCAATTACACTCTCAATCTCATGTTTGGTTCCTTCAAGAAGCGCAGCTCCCACCAGATATGTATCAAGAGTTGATTGACTCTAACAATTTTCACATCATTGGACAAAGTCAAGCTAAATCTAAGATTTTCATCCTAGATCAATCAATTTATAAAAGCTGTACATATCCAAATCACATTAGCAATGAAGCCCCAGATCAGGACTTGAAAGAAGCAATTAGTGACGTTTATCTTCCTGCTCAAAATATTTTGCTTATCAATTTATATTGTCCATCTAAAGACAAAAAAGCTATTGCAAAGGTGCTCAACTATGTTAATCAAGCTATCTCAAAACATCCCGTGGCCCACCATGATCTAATTATAGGTGGTGACTGGAACTTCATCAATAAATCAGAAGACTCCAGTACTTTTAAACTAAATTCCACTGAATCAGAAGCTATACTTAGCTTAGATCACTTAATGAAACAGCATTTGATAACAGATGCTATAGATTTATCTTCAAACCCACCTCAAGGGAACAATAGATTCACAAATAAACCCGAAATTGATCAATTGCACGGTAAGAAAGCCAAAAGACGTTTAGATAGATTCTATATCTCATCAAGTTTCAAAAAGTTATCAAACCTTCAACTTTTTCACTCAAAACAAAAAGAATCTTTCAGTTCACATCACTCCATTCAAATTAGTATCAAAAGTGAGGACCACCAACAACATAACGGGTCTAACAAAGGAAGATTTAGAGTAAACGATGACCTATTCCATGATTTAGAATGGTTTTCCCTCATAGATTGTGACAAAATTTTAAATGATTATCAAATCTCATCTCTCTCTTTTGACAGTAAATTCAATAATTTAATAAATCAGTTAACAAACGAAATCAAAAATATTCAAGAAGTTTATTTCAAGAGGCTTAAGCTTGAGGATCTAGCCAATGAAACAAACCATCAAAAGACTCAATCTCTTTCACAAAAGATGGGTTCTACCTCAATACCATATCAAGACTTTGCAATATTAAACAAGATGTTCAAGCGGGAGCAAACCAAACAAGAGATTCCACCTATTACAACAGCTGATTCTAATGTTTTAACAAACGATAATGACAAATTATCCGAGCTCCAACTTTTTTATGGCCAATTATTTTCAAAAGCATCAAATGAATCTGATAAAGAAGATATTAAAAAGTATTTGGATCAAACAAATCCATCTCTAAAGTTCAGTAAACAAGAACATCATCAACTTCATCAATCTCTAACACCAGAGGAAATTTTTCAAGCTTGTCAACTGCTGTCTAAAGATAACACATCACCTGGACTAGATGGATTATCCTATAGAATGATCATCAAATTATGGAAACCAATTTTTGAGATAATTCTGCCAGAATTGTCACAACATATCCAACAAAGTGGAAATCTTCCTAAATCATTACAACCAGTTCTTATCACTGTATTACCAAAAGTTGAATTTGATACCATACAACCAGGACAATTAAGACCTATTAGTTTGATGTCTTGTATTCTCAAGGTGATCTCAGCAGCATGGAACTCCAGAATACTTCCAATTCTTGAAAGCAAACTAAACAAGTCTCAGTATGGCTTTCTCCCCCATAAACGTATGGAGGATTTGATAATGAATTATCAAACGGTAATGCAGGTTAGTCAATCAAAACCATCTCCATCATCATCTTCACCACAATTCACTGATGATTTTCCAGCTATGGCACTATTGGACTTCCAAAAGGCATTCGACACAGTGTCGCATAAGTTTGTGCTTGAACTTTTGATCCATATGGATGCTCCAAAGGATATCATCAACACCATCATGGCATTTTTGGAACAAAATACGGGTATTATTACATTAAATAATAAATTCTCCTCACAAATTGACTTAGCACAGGGCGTGAGACAGGGTTCACCCATCAGTCCAAGTATCTTCATCTTAATTCTCAATGTTCTATTAAATGATTTAGAAAAAAAACTAAATGGAGTCAAAATCAAAATGAACTTTACCACCAACAACATCAATTCCTATGCATATGCAGATGATTTGGCAGCCTTTTTAGATGGTAACAAAGATATTGATCAATTCCAACAATGTATTCAAAGGTTTTGTGAACATTCAGGTCTTAAATTGAATAATGATAAATCCAAAATCTATTATCTAAAATCTTATGATAAAAATAGCAAGATCACCAAAGAGCAGTTTTTCAACAATTATGCAACAATTTATAAGCCATTAGATATAAAAGGTGAGTTTCTATGTGATTCAAACCCAAATGTGCTTGGTATAAATTTAGCTAAAGTTGATTGGGACTCAATTCTTAAAAGAATAAACTCATTAATATTTGGATCTTTAGCACACCATTTACCACTGGCTATACAAGCAAGATGTATATCAATTTATATCTTATCCATCATCTTTTTCAGAGACCCAATGGAACCAGTGCCACCAAGGGTACTGCAAGAAATTGAAAACAATATTAATAAAAAAATGCCAGGTGTTAGTCCTGCAAATCTGGTCCTTCCATTAAAATTGGGTGGTTTTGGGCTTCAGGATCTGGAACATCAATTGAAAGGTCACAGAGCTAAATTGATATATAATCTGATGGTTTCCAAACATGATTTAGCTTTTATTGAATTAAGAGATAAGCTGCAATATTTAGCAACAGTGTTGACACATGAATTCAAGTTACATCCAGCTGAACGTATCAAAACAACAACAAAAGATAGCAATAACCAAGAGATTCAAATTGAACAATTAACTGGTAACACCACAACAATACTGCCATCTAAGCCACCTAATAAGAACAAGATCAGATCATTCCCATGGTTTCAATTGTTGGATGGAACTTTAGTACAGTATTTTAATAGTTTGCCAGAAGATGCGTATTTCAAAACAAAGCTATTTCAAGGGGTTAAAGAATCCAAATCCGGGGTGGGTCCGATTTCCGGTCCAGTTACAAATGATGAATTTTTCTTTACTCTTTTAGCTAATTACAAATATCAATTGCCATATACCAAAGAAACTTTTCCATTTGCAAAATCATATTATGATTCCATGGTCAAACACCCAGGGGCAAGAGAAAGAAAGGCTTTAAAAGTTGATAAATATTTCAATCTCAAAGAAAAAAAATCTATTGAAGCTTGGTTTGAAATCCTTCATCCAATTGGTTATAAAGAT